TCATAAAATGCTTAATAAAAAATATTGAAAACCTAAAAAAGTGGACTGGAAACTAACTAGACCTTTATGGGTGTTTATCTCATAACCTAACCGTACGACTCTAAAAGATGAACTGACAATAAAGAAAGCTTCTTCCATCTTCCAGTTTTTGAGAGAAATATCGAGCTAATTTTAGTATAAAAGAAAAACAATTGTTTTATCCGGATTGATGCACGTTCATTCAAGGACAAAGGACCTCGCATGCTTGCCAACTCGTTTTGCCTATCATATTTGCTTTGAAAAGGAGGCTCTTGCTTTGAAGAATGATATTTTTAGTGGCTCGTTGCGTTTGTTGTTGAGAGTGATTTTTTGGCTTTGTTTTTTTAAAACATTCTTAGGAAATTACATTTACTCACTGGTAGATGCAAAATATGCCAGGGACATACAACCATTGTCAATGGAACCAATAGTAGTAGGTAATTTCAAACGTTTTTTTTTTTACTCTTCAAGAAACAGGCTAAGTGTATCATGATACATATAACAACACGATCGTAGTACTAGTTATTACCGCATGAAAAACCTTAGCCGTTGTTTAATTATTTTACTTTCTCAAACTATTGAAAACTGTGGGAGAAGCAGTGAGGCCCGGGGTTAATAAAGTAGAAAAACACCATTTAATTAAATCTCATATGTTTATGAAAACGGTCCAGTTCTCCAGATCACAAAAACAGAGCTAGCTTTAAGACATTTGCGATAAACCAATGATCGAGTTTTTGCGAGGTTGAGTGATTATCGTAGTGGAGGTCACCAAGTTGTCTATGCATAACCTTTGTCGAGTAACAAAAATGTAGGCAGAGAAAGTTTAAGCTTAGTTTTACGTTATACTTTAGTCTAACTCAGTTGTAATTTATAATTAAAATCAACGAGAGGCCCGTATGGTAGTTTAGCTGAGGAATAATTTATTTTGATTACCAAAAAAATTACGTCCCTATTTGTTTTTGGTGCTTTTGCCGACGACCGCTTTGATCGCTTTCGTTCCATATAAAACGATGCTTATTTTCCTTCCTAGACCAGTTTAGCTCTTATTTGATGTATATGGCTACATATTAAGCTGGCAAGCAGCGAATTTAGCAAGAATAGATCAATCCATAGGTACCTCATTTTGGAATTTCTAAACAATCCTGACAGAGTTAGACGCAAAAGAACCAAGTAACATTTTGAGGGAGAATCCACTGGCGGCCCATTTTGCCTTTTACCTACTACTCTTTACAGATTAAATTTGACCCTTTCCTAAAGACCTGGCCAACCACAATTCCTTTCGAAAGATGGACGATAAAGTGAGTAACAAACTGGCTATAAAAAGAAAGGCAAAGGGGGGAAAAGAGCAAAACAGATTCGCCAATTAACAGGCAAAACAAAAACCAAAATTAAAAAAGATAACCAATTAGACCTTTTAAATTAGCAGGAAAATATACCCTTGGTTTTATAAATCTCATTTTGGCAATTTCTATACTAATTGTTCGAAAAACACTCCGAAAAAGAGGATTTAGTAAAATGAAAATACTCTATTTTTTGCTACTCCCTGAAGATCGCCAAGGCCGATTTGAAAACAATTTTTAGCTTGTTCCCTTGTGTTGTTGTAGACGAAATTCTTTCAGTCGAAATAACTTACGTGGGATTAGAGAATCTGAATGATAGTTGTGTGGAGTGCCTGGTACTAATTTTCAGATATTTGTCAGTTTTCACAAGCTGTATTTTCAAAATTATCTTTTGGATTTCTGATCACATCCGTTGTTGATTTATGGAAAAGTTTATTCAAACATTTTTGATGAAAAAGCTTGACACCCTCAGCAGATCGACTACTTGACATGATTTTCAATCTGTAATTTTTAGCACTTTTAATTTCTCACCTGTTTAAATTTTGCAGAAATTCTATGTAGAAGCTAATACTAATATACTGACTGGACAACCCAGGCCTTGTAGTAAAATGCAGAAAAGAGAAAAGCTTTTTCACCAAACAAACAACTCGAATGTTCATGCCGCCGTAAGTGAGTTAGGCTAATGAGAGATCAAGACCTAAATAGGATTAATTTAAACAAATGGAGAACGGGTTTGTTGTTACGTCCCGCAAATGGGTTGCTGATCAACTATAAAACTAAGCCGGTGCGGGATCGATAGCTAGAGAGAATGGTAGCCAGTAAATAGAAACTTCGTGAAGATTAAAAGCACTTAAAGAAGATGGGGCCTCGTCCTTTTGTTGAAAAAGAGCCTCAAAGTTAAGTTCCCTCAACAGCTTTCAATCGCAGTACCAGTCGTCTGTTGGTCTGCTCAGTGCTGTTTCGTAAAATGGAAAGAGAAAATGGAGCCGCGGGACCCAATAGACCTTAGTTTCACCACCAACAGAGAATAATGAGACAGAGAGGAAAACACCCAGTCTAGCCCTTAAGATTATATGTGAATTTCACCAAAGTTATTTTTAGACCAATGAAACGCTTGAAAGTAATCGGAATTTGGTTTCCGGAGAGGTCGGCAAACGTTTTTTTATGCAGTGTTGTCAAAAGAGAATTCAAGAGTAGCCATTACAATATTCTGAATTGTGTGCTTTGTGGCAGTCGCGCGTGGACTTGATGTGCGGACGTCTCAGGAATTAGACTTCCCTTTAATTACAACCTCTAAAAATAACTTTAGTGAAATTCACATATCCCGACCAACCCCCTTAGATTCCCTCTCTATCCCATTATTAGTGAGCTTAAGTAAAGACGTTTTTGAGCGACGCACGCACATCAACCGGAAGCGGTCTTTTTTTATTTTAAGGCGGTGGTTTTACCCAAATGTTTGGACAAATCGTTTCTGTAATAGTAAAAACACTTAGAAATACAAATTTGGTAGCGTCAAGCTGCTTCAAAATGAAAAAGACGTCAATTCTGGTTGACGTGCACCGCTCAAAAACGCTTTTTTTAAGCTCCCTATTCTCTTTTGGTTTCACCTACTTTTGTGCCGCTGCATATGCCAGTTTCAATGATTTTTTTTATGCCATCAAATTTACACGATTTCAGGGACGACAGCAGCTGCGAAGTTGAAACTATTTGATTTGGCCATCTCCTGGTGTGATTCAGGATTATTAGTATCCTTTTGTTCTTTGCATGCGTGCAGTTAAAAGATACATGAACGGATAGTCTCAGTCTTTGCTTCTTATGATTTAAGTCTAAAGATGTCCTGGGGACGAAGCTGCAACCCCTTAGTGGGTCCCTAGTATCCCATAAAAGAAAAACACTTCTCTTATTGGAAGAATACTTAATACGGTCTTTTACTCAATTTATAATACTACATGAGAAATTTCTGCAATTCAGATTGGCTTAGAGCAGTGGTATTTCAGCTTAATTTGAAATAAAATAATAATAGCATGATTTGTACTTGATATTTGGGATAAATACCACGTGTGATATTTCAAAATTATCTCAAATGTCACTCGCCTAACGGCTCGTGAAATTACGTATAAAAATTTTGAAATATCACTCGTGGTATTTATGCCAAATATCACAACAAATCATGCTATTACCTATACTTATGGTAACATTATTTCCAAATTTAATTAACAATTTGAAAAGATTGAAAGGGAAAACAACATCTTGGTGGAAATTAAGAAGTTAGTTTTGACATGCGCAAATGAAGCAAAGATCAGAGCCACAGACAACGAGGGAACTTATTATATTATTTTTTATAATATCAGAGGTGACGAATTACTCCTTAATTTTGGCGCGAAATTTCAGCGTTAATTTGTAATTTCACATGTGAAATTACGAAATTGCCATGGCAACTTTCCGTACGTCTCAGTGTCAAGATGGCGACGAAGTTTTAAAATGTCATGAATGAAGATGTCAGGGCACAAAAAGACGCTTTAGAAAACCTGAACACACGAAAGAGCACATCAAGAAGGGTTCTAACAGGTATTTTGTCGAAAAACTCTGAACTTAAGCCAAATTTAAGCGCTAAACGTTCGAGAGAGTGCAGGAGTTCTCGATCGATACGATCCAGGATAAACATGTCAACGTAATTCTTCACCCATGATATTAATAGGTAATCAAATGGTATACTTGTGAAATTAGGGAATAATTTCTCTTGCGTTTTGTCCAAATCCTAATAATTTCCCGAGCCTTAAGGATTTGGACAAAACGCGCGTGAAATTATTCCTTAATTTCACTCGTCACCATTTGATTACACCTACTAATACTTTCTGTTTTGCTTGGATACAGCGATCGAAATTATAGCCTTTGATATTACGCTGATATTACTTCCCTCCCTGGCCGTCATTCGCAGAAGAGCTCTGGGGTCGAGACTTGTGGTCAAACTGGATTTTAGATCTGTACGCGCAGTCGATTGTCGTCGAGTTGTCTATCCTAAACCTGCATAATTTCAGAAAGCCGTATGAACAATTACCTCGGAGGTAACATCGTAGTACACCCTAAAAACCTAACGTCACTGTAATAAGTGAGTCCTTGAAGCTCACAAAATTCTCACCTCTTTGTAAAATTCCCGTATTCAAAACATTTGTACCTTCAGTTATTACATGAAATTTTGGCGACACTTTTTGAGATTTTTCTAAAAATCGCTAAATTAAAATGCACCAAAATTTACCACCACAGAAAATAAATATGAATATTGGAGTACTGTCCCAAGACCTTTTGTCCAGGATTGTAGTTTCACACACATATGCTATTTGACGGTCGATTTATGGCCGTGTACCATTGACTTAACTTGCGTGACAATGTATGACATTGCAGTTGCAGTTTCGTTTGATTGCTCGTTGTAAGATTTTGATTTAAATCAAGCTATTGGCGTCTATGATTTTTAAACACGTGTTTTTGTCGTCGTAAAAGTTTTGAAAACCTTAATTCCCCAAAGTTTCAGTTCGTGAAATCGTTAAGGAAGGTCTTAATGGGGTGTGAGCTTTGACAGTTGAAGGTCAATTTTTTTCGAATTTTGACGGCTGACGGTTAAATTTATAGCTTTTGACGGTTGACGGTTTTTAAGTGGAAATTTAGTCCCAAAGTTGACGTAAATATTAACTTCTGTATGAGTTAATATTAACTGATGTGTTTCGAAGGTTTTCTTGGCTTTTCACTCATAAAATTTCGGAATGTGTTCAGGTATAGGTGGGTTGTAAGGTATTGTAATGTCAGAAAGAGTGTTTTTTGGAGAACATGCGAAGTGGTTTTTGCAGTTTAGAAATTCTCTAGGTGCCGGAATTCCGTGGAGATCAGCTGAAACATGCTGAAATAGTGAGTTTTGAAATGCTTTGAAACTCTTAGAAGGTTAAAATCTCAAGCGCGTATCTAGGATAAATACTGACCGATTTCCTCAACGAGTGTTGAAGGCGTAAGCTTCCAGAGGGGTTCCGAGACGGGCTCCCCCAGGAAAGTTTTTGGATTTTAACTCCGGCTTATAGTCCCCTTTTCTGGTGGGGTTTCCGAGTCATTCAGCCGGCAGGATCATGGATTGGCCAGATTTCAACTTAGAAAGTGTTTTCTATTATTAAAAATATATTTATTATGAAAAATCTGACCAATTTCCGTAAAACGGTGGAAGCCCGGGTGGAACCGCCCCTACCTGAATCTTAACCTGCAATTTTGACGGCTGACTCTTAACTTTTAGGCCCTTTGACGGCTGACAGTTAATCTCACTGAGACCCTCATTAACTGACTCATGTTCCAAAATTTACGAAAAAATCTCTGAATTAAAGTGCTGTCAAATAAGGATTTTCAAAATCGCTAAATTAACGAGTCGCCAAAATTTCATGTAATAAAGTATGTTTCTCTGCAGTTTTTGGATTTGAAAGAAAAGAAGGAATGTTTTCTCTTGCAGATGTTCTTGACATAGTAGTCGTCATCCTTTGCCGGGAGTGGTATTTTATTTTATTACTACTCTTGAAAGCGGTAGATTCGCCTATTTCACCTTAGCATAAAATTATTAAACGTGTGAAATCTTTCGCAATTTTCTCCAGCTCCGCACTGCCAAAATAGAGGAGCCAACGCGCTGTGCGTCCCTCTTTCTGTTGTCATTTGTATCAAAATCGCAAAAATCGCTCAGATTTAGTCAACGCCAGCTTAATAAGTAACGAAGACGGTGACGGCAACGAGAACGGCAAAAAAAACAATAGGTTTGATTAGCAAAACAACAACTTTGCACGTGACTCACGCATTTTTGTACATTTCTTTGCCGTCGTTTCACGACTACAACGTGAAACTGCCTAATTTCACGTTTGTCGAGGACGGGAACACAAGACAACAACTTTCTTTTTCTTTTTCTGAACTTTGATACAGTCTTTTAGAGTTCAACTCCAAAAATAATTTCCAACATTTGACGAATTAGGCAAAATGGAATAAGCGCGATTAAATTTGGGGCAGCGCAAATTCACTTTTTAAGTGACGTTTTCGTAGCTGTTGCCGTCGTTTTTGCTGAAGCTCCCTTATTTAATCCATTCAGAAACGTAAAAAATGTTGAAGGAATAATGAAATATTAGACCAGATACCTACTGTAACACTTTGCTTTGTTTAACGGAAGTATAATGGCTTACTGTTTTTAGTCTTTCCGAGGAGGAAAAGTTAAACATGGGCAACCCAAAACAACTTCCTTAAAAGATTGGTCTTGCAGTTATCACCTTGGAATTAACGCTCTCAAACTCGGTGATTTTAAAACATCCCGAGATTACTTGGAGTTGGCATTGCATGGAGCAAAAGAGATCGGAAATAAAAGCTCAAAAGGAATTGTAAATAACGCCCTTGGCGTTGCCTATCTCTCTCTCGGTGATGTCAAGAAAGCAATCGAGTTTTTTCATCTGAGTCTGCCTATCGCAAAAGAGACTAAAAACAAAGGCTTAGAAGGAACTGTATATAACAACCTTGGCGGTGCCTTTGACTCTCTCGGTGTTGTCAAGAAAGCAATCGGGTTTTTTCATCTGAGTCTGCCTATCGCAAAAGAGACTGGAGACAAAGACTTAGAAGGAACTGTATATAACAACCTTGGCAGTGTCTTTGACTTTCTCGGTGATGTCAAGAAAGCAATCGAGTTTTTTCATCTGAGTCTACCTATCGCAAAAGAGACTGGAAACAAAGGCTTAGAAGGAAAAGTATATAAGAACCTTGGCAGTGCCTTTGACTTTCTCGGTGATGTCAAGAAAGCAATCGGGTTTTTTCATCTGAGTCTGCCTATCGCAGAAGAGACTGGAAACAAAGACTTAGAAGGAACTGCATATAACAGCCTTGGCCTTGCCCATCGCGATCTCGGTGATTTCAGGAAAGCGTCCGACTTTTTTAAGCGGAGCCTACGTATCGCAAAAGAAAGTAGAGAAAAAGATTTAGAAGGAGCTGTATATAACAACCTTGGTTGTTTTTCTTACTCTCTTGGTGATTTCGAGGGAGCAATTGACTCTTTTGAGCTGAGCCTGCGAATCGCAAAAGCGACTGGAAACAAATATATAGAAGGAAGTGTATATGGCAACTTTGGCAGAGCCTATTACCGTCTCGGTGATGTCAAGGAAGCAGTCGAGTTTAGTCAGCTGAGCCTTAGTATCGCAAAAGAAACTGGACATAAAGATATGGAACAATTTGCATATAGAAACCTTGCTGACGGATATTTTTATATACTTTACGATTTTTGTAAAGCCGAGGAGTTCGCTAAATCCAGTATAAAGCTGTTCGAGGAAATGAGGGTTCTCCTTCCAGAAAAAGACGAGTGGAAAATCTGCTTTCGGAATAAAGATGGTGATCACGATAGATATCGTCTTTTATGGAAAATTCAATTACAACTAGGCAAGACCCATGAAGCGCTTTTTACAGCTGAGGCGGGACGAGCACAAGCTCTCATGGATCTCATGAAATCGCAATATGGTGTCAGAAAATCAGTTCAATTGTCGTCAAAACAGCAGATGGAACTGATGATGTTTAGTATTTCAAACCACATTTCGTCTCCTACGCTATTTCTAGCAGAGGATTCAAAATTAGTGAATTTACGGTTACTACTAAAGGGAGATCATCGTTGTTTTGCGCAAAGGAAAATCAGTGATGACTTGACATTAGTGATTAAACAAACATACCAAAAGATTGGTGTGAGGGGCGTGAATCAAACCCTGGATGAGCCAAAAGATGAAAAGGAATGCGCTCTAAAAGGACTGTACCTGATAGAAGGTGATGAACTCATTATTATCCCTGACCGTTCATCATTTTTGATTCCTTTTGCTGCCCTTGTGGATCAGCATTCCAGATATTTTTCTGAAACGGTGAGAATCCGATTGGTTCCATCGTTAACATTTTGCTGCTGCTAAAAGAGTGTCCAAAGAGCCGCCATAGTACATCTGGCGCAGTACTGGTTGGTAATCCATGGGTGGAAACTGTACGCATCAAAGGCTGCAAACCATTTCCGCAGCTTCCTGGTGCAGAGGAAGAGGTAAAAATGATTGGAAAGATTCTAAATATCGAGCCTCTCACTGGTAAGAAAGCTACAAAAGATCAAGTTTTAAGCAGGTTCAACTCAGTTTCTTTGGTACACATTGCAGCTCATGGTTGTCCAGAAACAGGAGAAATCATACTATCTCCAAATCTTGCTATTTCGGACAAACCCGAAGAGAAAGACTTTCTTTTGACTATGGCAGAAGTGCTGGGTGCACAACTGCGAGCCAAGCTTGTTGTCTTAAGCCGCTGTTACAGTGCACGAGGGGAGATAAACGCAGAAGGCGTTGTTGGAATTACACGTGCCTTTTTAGGAGCCGGGGCACGTTCTGTTATTGCGTCTCTGTGGGAGATTAGTGACGAAGCCACTCAAGAGTTTATGAGACACTTTTACGAACATTTGCTTGCAGGGAAAAGTGCAAGTAAGTCGCTTCATCACGCAATGAAATCGCTACGGAAGTCTGAAAAGTTCAACGCCGTGGAGGACTGGGCGCCATTTGTGCTGATTGGCGATGACGTGACTTTGAATTTTGGCCAAGAAAAGGTAAGGCTCTCCCTGTAAGCAAAGGTAGAAAAAATGATCACGTATTCAAGGGTTGCGAAACCAACAGTCTCGTTTTAACTTTTGAATCTCAGATTTCTAGCCTCCGATCGTTGAATTAGAGAGGAAGCCATTTTTTTTCCCAAAGTACAGTTAAGCAAGGAACAACACCATAGTAAAATGAAGGACATGGATTTCTTTCAATCGGTGCATTCAAAAAATGACTTACGGTTTTACAAATGAATAGACCTGCACGATGAATACGTTTTCGTATGTACGGCATGCTCTCTAAAACTCTGACCTATTTCAGACCAAATAACCGGAATTTTCCCACCCCTATTTTAGACCTAAAACACTTACCCAGATCCTGGCTCCAGTAAACAAAAAACCATCTGCTATTTCAGACCTAAATTTTATGACCCATGCAGTTTCACACCTAAAAGATAAAAAATAGCTTGTATTAGGAAAACCTCCATTTCGGCATATGAAAACTACTCTGCCTAAAAATGGTAGAGGTTAACTTGCCTGTTGCTGTCTTTAATCTTCTGCAGAGCCAACAAAACGAATAGATGGATTTCTAATATGTGGAATCCCTTTCACGAGCAAGTATCTCCAGCCTTCGCTTTGGCTGTAACAGAATACAGCTGTCACGGTTCTCACCGTAGTTAATTGATTTATTCACAGCGAAGAGAGGCAGTCTACGAGTATGGTCCCTTGTTTTCCTCAGGAATAGTAGAGCGAATAGAATACACGAGCGCGAGTGAAAATTACCACCCGCGAGCTTAGCGACTTCCCTCCACGTGTCATCTCCGCGTGGGTAGCTATTTATGGCGCGCACTCGCGTAGTTTGCCCTCTCTACCATCCGCTGTGGAAAACAAAGGACTACACGTTGTCTGTAAGAACATGCCAAAAATTAATCAGTTAGAAATCAAGAAACAGAAAAAGGCAACAAGCACTGCATGACATCATTGACTTTTTGGCCCAACAAGTCGAAGAAACAAGAGTGCAAGAGCTTCTGGGAAGAGGTTCCAGTCATTGTTAGACGGACCATCTAAGACTTCAAGTGATGACTTGTGTTTGCGTGAATTTACATTAAAATACTGAAAGATCAGTATTATATACCGTAACATTTAGTTCTACATGTTTACAGAAATGGTGATTAACTGCTCAAATATGACTACAACAATAACAGCAACAAGTTGGCTATGTTTGCATGACTATTAAACAAACTATGACAGTATAGACAGTATACATAGAAAAAGTTTAATTTGTTTAATTAGTTATAAAAACTTACGACAAAAACAAATGAAAAGCAATTCTCATTCCTTAATTTCAAGCATTCATAGGTCAAGAGTAGTTTGATTCTGGAAACAAGTTTGTTTCTCAATTCAATACATGATGAGATAAATGAAATCAATCAAATAAATGCTTATAAAATATTAAGTAAACTTCATTAGATCTTTTAGCAGTCTTAGAAATGAAAGTTTTTAGGTTATCCTATTTTAGAAAAGACTGATTTTCTATCAACAAACTGAATAGCTTGGAAATCTATTATAGCACATATGAAAAACTTTAATTTTGTCAGTTACAATTACAGACACTGCAGATTAATCTTAACATTTTCAGAATTTCAGAACTTTATTTATTATTTAATTGATTCTAACTTTTATTACGAACTATATTTCTCTTTTTACTTGTTTCACCAGTGCGTTTTCTATTTTATAGAAAGGTTTGTTCTTCCATTTGAATCAACCAGGCAAGGGTAAGGAAACTGTAATATTTTTCATTTGAATATATAATAAAAGTTACATTTTTGACAATGATGAAGGACATGAAGGGTTTTGTAACTTTGGTTTCATTATGTTTTTTATTTATATGAATGATTAAAGGGAGTTTGCAAAGTTCAGCTCTTCACGCAACATTGGATGCCTTGTTATGGATTTCTAAATAGAGTTTATGAATTATAAATGCCTTAACCGTGGCAGGATTAGCTCAGTCGGTAGAGCGTTTGACTGCAGAGCGGGAGGTCGCGGGTTCGATTACCGGGGCCGGACCATTACTCAGGGTCTTAAAATGACTGAGAAATGAGGGTACTTCCTTTGCACTGCACGGCGAGACCTTCGCGTGGCTCGGATGACCGCGTAAAATGGCGGTCCCGTCTCCATTAGGAGACGTTAAAAAAGTGTCCCCAATTAGCACTTTCGTGCTAAATACATTGACACTCAAATAAAAAGTGCAAGTGTAATGAGAAGTTTTTCGTCACTTGCGGAGCTGTCAAAATCTAATTGTACTTAGGCACCCTAAATTTCATTATCGTTGGTTAAAATCGGTGAGATCTTGTCAAAATTGGACATGCAAGAGCAGGTTTCAGTTTTTGAATCAGAGTGCGTCTAAAGAATTCAACGCGTGAAGGTGGGTTTTGTAGAAGGTGTTTAAGGGAAAGTGTAAAATTGTTTTAAGATGATATGAAAAACGCTAGGTAAGCAAAATCTTGGTTGGACCTTGTTTATCAATTCATTGCCTGTGGGACAACATAATCACATCGTTTTATGCATCTTGGAAAACTTCTTATAATCTTGTTTTTCTTAGGGTTTATTTTAAGCATCCAACAGGAGTGACAATCTGTAGATGATTTGTTTAGGCATACAGTCGACTCCCGAAACCTCGAACCTTCAAGAGAAATCGAAAAAAGTTCTAGTTATCGGGAGCTCGAAGGAAATAGCCGGGAGTAAGGAAAAAAGACTGTTTTTACTGCACAGTGAACATTTTAATCACAGTTTTAAAATTGCATGTAGAAATGTTAAGTGAAAATTGAAAGTCACCTCTCGATAATCAATCAGAACGTAACGTAACAAACTGTTGCCTAAATAGAGCATGCGTTTTACTGTTTTGAGAAGTAACGCTGTGTGACAAAATCAGCAAAATCAGCCTCCTCTAGTAAACTATATGCCTACAACACGTCAATGGGAAATTCAAATTTCAATGTTTCGGACGCCAGTGGACTGCTTTTCCCGCCTTTTTTAGGGGCTCAAAACATGGTTCGAGTTATCGAGGGTAAAATTATATAGAAATTATCCAGGTAAATTATCTGAGGGGAAAAAAAAGCTACTTCGAGTTAGCGGGAGGTTCGAGCTGCCGAGGGTAAAATTGCAGTAAATGTATGACGGAAATCCAGGGCAAATCGATTTTGCTTCGAGTGAGTGAGAGGTTCGAGTTAGCGAGTGTTCGAGTTATCGGGAGACAACTATAGTTTGAAATTTTGCGATTCGCCTGCATAAAAAAGAGAGTTGAGTCCGGTGCCATTTAATAGCACAAAATGGATGAGATGAAGTATTGTAATGTTAAAAGTCGATAAAAGAGAAAGCAGTTAGGTTTGGGTTAAAGAGCAGTGTGAGGATGCATATGTCAGGGCTGGTCAAGCGGAAGAGTGCCCGGGTTTTTCGGAATACGGGATCTGCGCTATTTGAAGGCCGGGATTCGGGATTTTACAGCAAAATGGGGGCGAGATTCCGGATTGAAAGTCTATGCACGGGATGCGGGATGCCGTAAATAACCGCTGGGTTATATACGGGACGGGATTGAACAACCCTATTGGGGCTCCTCAAGGGGGTGGGGGGTGGGAAGTCTATAGCTATACCGTTATCCTAATCGAAAAAAGTTAGCTGAAATACCCAAAAATTCCCTGATATACCCCAGACTAGCAGAGGTATAGCATACTTTTTGCATAAAATCGTTACATGCACCATATCCATAAAGTGTTTCGTTTCCCATCTCTCTTTATAACATAGCTAGAAAATTCGCCTAATCAAATTCAATAGCGCGAGCGTGCTTCATATTCCTATTGAGCACGCTGATGACGTCAATAAACTATTCGTAATTCCTCGAGTTGTTAATGTGAGCTAAGCAATCCTGAGTCTCCTGAGTGCATCCATAACTTGGCAGTACACGATAAAGCGTTTACCATGTGTTTTATAAGGAAATTGAAGAGGAAACATTTGAATTTGTTAACCGATAGTAAGGAAAAGAGGTGAGTGTTGTTGTTGTTGTTGTTGTCATCTCCGCGAGCTGTGCGGGCTATGGCGTGAGTTCATTCTTTGCAAACTTGCTTTCTCTCAATAACAATTTTTCGGTAAATTAATAGTTTTCCGGCACCTAAATATGGATTTTATAATCATTTTAGAGTACACTTTCTCTCAGTTTCAGGATAAAAACATAAGATTAACTGTGAGGAAAAAAATATACAGTCACGTAAACATTGACGCGTACTGCTTTGAGCGCGCCCTACAATAATAAAATTATAAGTTAACTGATGCATTGATCGCTTTGATGATGTTATAAAACAATTAGTTCATACTGCAGCTGTGCGTATGTCGAGTTATTGAGCACTTGGGAAGTTTGGAGAGCACTCAAGAGGCTAGAGTTGCACTCGGCTGCGCCTCGTGCAACTCTTACGCCTCTTTCGTGCTCTCCAAACTTCCCGCGTGCTCAATATCTCGACATACGCACGCTGACGCATGAACTAATTGTTAATTAGAAAACGATGGGTTTCACGACCAGCCCTCCACCTCCCTCCCCCCCTAAAAATTATTTTTCTGAAAAGACAAGGTCATAACTAGGCGCGGTATCAGGCTGTTGAAACTGTTCGGAGTTGTACAGTCCAACCCAGTTAATGTCGTTGTAATCCCGGTTCAGCCGCTTCATTCAGTCCCTTTTAGTCTCCTCTTTGCTTCTTCTCTTGGCGCATTTTTATATGAGCGAGGTGCTCAACATACCTCTGCCACAATCTTTTTGGGGCCTGACTTATCTGATAACTCTCAAATGGTCTCACTGTTCCAACTGACTAGTTTCATCAGTTTCTTGAAAAATCGCTCAATCTGATCTGAGCTCGAGTCTGGAAGTCGTCTGGCTCACGGCCATTGATGGGGGGTTCTACTCCAAGAGAGATAATGGCGAAAGCGTTCCTTGTGTCCAAAAGGACAGGTAGAATTTGGGCAGAATACCTAAGGAGAATTCAGTTTTTTCGTCCTTTGAGTTGGGGAACCACATACCCTAGGTCTTCATCTTTCCACTTTTCTGGAGTTGCTCCGCCACTTGTTCCACACCAGATGTGCAGTCTTCTTGATGCCACAAAACAGAGTCAGAAGAGGAGCGGGCATCCTTTCTAGAATAACCAGTCGCCAAGCAGCCACTATAGCGACAAATTATTCCATATGATCTCATGAATTCATCATATTCACCACCAGCAAATTTCCCCCTTTCTGCTCCTCGTATATCCTTCCCTGTCTTCAAGTTTCTACTGCACAATCACATGTCACGCGATTAGATGCTTTGTGCGAAATTGGAACGACCAGAATGGGGTTATATGATTAATTTCTCCGGTTAGTTATTATCACTTCCGCTTGTTTTGTGTTGAATGGGTGGGCTAGGGTCAGATGCATTTTTAGCGTTTGTTTGTAAATGAACCAATCCATTCCAGGAAGTGGGAGAGCCAGGATTTTTTTGGCCAAAAATTTCGAAAATACCGCCCCCCCCCCCCCCCCCTCTCAACTAAAAAGGTACCTACAATAACAAATACAATTATTCCTCACCATGCTAGCGAAGCGAGATTTATAAATTTGCGGGTATTCACGACTAGCGGATGCGATCCAAGCGAGGTGGAATCTAAGTGGAATCTATATAAAATGGTAACCCGGGGTGCCACCCAACAACGTTTTATACGAAGAGGCTCCGTCCGGCGGATGTCCAATCCCTTGTTGCCTTTCATATTCCATTTTTGGCAGAAACGGCTGTTTATGGCGAGGAGCGTTGCGTGACGATACTAAAACGGCCGCGAGGGAGACTACTTTTCGAGCAGAACCTTAATGTATAGACCATTATAGGGAGTACCCCGCGGGAATTGCAATAGGACTGAAAAAAAAAAATGCCAGCAACAGCAAATGAGGTAAAGACAATGACTGTCCTCTAGTCCTTCCACAAATCTTAGAAAATTACTAGGTTAATGCAAACTGAAGGAAATGTTACTGTTATTGCTCGTTCTGTCTTGTTTTACGACTGAAAAAGAGCAAGAAAAACGTTGGAAGTATTGGACTTTGAGTGTTTGAAAGAAGACTTAGACGAAAAGTTCTGTTAGATTGTGGGCTGAATCCGACAACACAAAGGAAGAAACACAAGCTACTGCTGGCTCAGAGTAAAGATTATAGCTCGTATTTACTCCTAACCCCCAAAAAGACCACTTCACAAGAAAAACCATCATGAATACTTAAGTTTGGGTGAATGTTATTTAGCCAGGGTTATCTCTTCAGCATAAAATGCTGCTATGAATGAGGGCCCTGGAAAAGAATAAAAAATAAAAAAATATATATATATATACATATATAAAACTAGCCTAAATTACAGTAACTAAAATACACTTAAAGTTAAAAATACAACAAGATTAAAAAGTTGTTTAAAAAAGCTAAAATACAGCAATTAAAATGCATTTAAAAACTAAACTGATACAAAAACTTAACAAGTAACTAAAAAACTTTTGATCGATATAATTTTAAAAATCACAACTGACTTAGAATCCTTCATTTCAGTTGCAATATTATTAAAAGGTTTAGATCCATTAAAATATAAAGACTTCCTTGCCGTCTCAGTTCTGACTTTGGGGAGCAGCAAGTTGTGCCCGCTTTCCCTCGTGTTGTGGATTGTTCTAAAACGCTTAAAATAATCTTTAAAAAACATTGGAGGGGACCTTCTCAATTTCATGTCTTTAGCTAGATGTGGTGACCATACCGAGCTAGCGTATTCCAAGATCGGTCGAACGAGGGACTTATACAAAATTGAAAAAAATGTCCTTATTCTTACTCCCTACTGTGCGTTAAAGTAAGCCAAGAACCTTGTTTGCTTTATGAACATGTTTATTGTCCAGGTCAGGTCACTCGCCATGATAACTCCAAGATCTTTATAGCTGGTTACATTTCTTAACTCAGTACCCGAGACTTGGTACCGTGTGGTACTTTTGTTCTTATTATGAGTGATTCTCATGACGTCACATTTGCTAGGATTAAAGTTTACCTGCCAGCGATCCGCCCATAGATCGAGAGTGGTTAGGTCTGATTGTAAAGCGATAGAATCTTCCACTTTTTTTTTCGCTCGATAGATTTTGGTATCGTCAGCAAATAACTTGGGGGTAGATGTGAGGTATGTCATTTACGTAAATAAGGAACATAATCTGCCCCAGTATTGAACCTTGAGGGACGCCAGATATAACAGGCGACCATTCGGAATACGATCCACGTATCTGTATTCTTTTTTTTTTTTTTGGTTGGTTAAAAAGTTCCTAAACAACAGTTGCAGTTGCCCGTCTATACCGCACCTATTGAGCTTTAAAAGCAGGCGCTCATGGCCCTCCGCTGCACACTGTGTATGCCTCGTTCTATAAGCAAAGATCCGACATAAGCCACGCGAAGGAACAAGCGCGCTACACACTGTTTATTCATTGTTCTTTAAACTGAAAGATCCGAATTAAACCACGCGAAGGAGCAAGCTGCCTACACTGTGTATGCCTCGTTCTATAACCAAAGATTTGACATGAGCCACGCGAAGGAACAACCGCGCTACACACTGTGTATGCCTGTTTCTATAAGTAAAGATCCGACATAAGCCACGCGGAAGAACAAGCGCGCTACACACTGTGTATGCCTCGTTCTTTAAGCAAATATCCGTCATCAGCCACACCAAGGAACAAGCGCTCTACACACAGTATACTCATTGTATTATAATTTTTGGAGGCACGGAAGCGTCTAAATTTCGAACGTAGTTTGTGGGCAAAACTGGAAACGATCCACTTACTATATGTGTTTGAGCAGCGTTTTCGAAATCTAGAATTAATTTTCTTGCTGGAGATGTTGATTCCCCGAACTGTATTTTATGTATGTAGTACACGGTAGTATACGCATTTGTAAAAAAACTTAAGGCACACTTTATCACACAAGTGTCTCTGTAGTTTATTTAACACACACAAATGTAAATAAGGCATGACACTCTGCACATAACAGATCTCCACGCCAAAATATTCGTTTATAATCATACATATCGTGGGACACGTTAAGAAAAGCTAATAATTTCCGCCTCATTTACCTACGATCTTCCCCATTTTTCAATTAACTTCCCTACCAGTTTTGATTGGAGGTTGAGTCGTGTCATTTAATAAGATCAGGTAGCCTGAGTAGCAGGCGCTTTGGAAGTGGTGGGCGCAAAAAAGAACGGAGGGACACACGTCAGAGAAATAGGTCCCTATTCCAAAGCGTGTCTCTCTCGCGCGCTCCGTTCTTTCCTGCGCGTTACTTCCAAGCGCCTACTACGCAGGCTAAAGATCAGGCAATTATTGGTAAAAATGGCCTCCTTAACATTTCGGTATAAAGAAAAAATCCTAAAAATGTATAATGAAATTATGGGAAAGACCTTTCGGGAGGACCCAATACGAACGCTAAATCTTTTGATAGGGCGAAAAAATCCCTATGATTAACGAGAGAAGAGTTCTTAAACATACAAAAACGATTTTAGACAGTAATTGAGATGCATTTAGAAAGATCAATTATTGGGTTCTTCCGATAAGGCTGATAAGGAGGGAATGGCTTTTACAAAGTGTTTGCAACATGTTCATTATGGTCCAGTCTAACAAGTACAGCATTAAGAAAAGAAAACGCCATCTGTTCATATGCTTTGTAATATGCGAAAATCGTGAGAGCCATGAGAATAACTGCTCGCAGACTTCTGTGTTTACATCCTAAGGGGAAAACAACACAGAGGACAAAGTTAATAAATGACTATCCAATACTGGGTAGTTTACAATTAATATAGTTAGTTCAGCGGGTCAGTGAGACAGATGGCGGCTACTTATGGTTATTCCACGCGGTTAGTACTTTTATATAAAAGTCCTGGATAAAGTGACAGTACAAATAAAGATTGCTGTTGTTGTTTCAACCCAATATTTGCTTAGAGTGACTTTATTTACAGGATGGCGGACATAGTGTGTTTGGGCTGTAAGCCACAAACACTTCAAGTTCAAAAGCCACAGCGGTGAAAAGATATGTTCTCATTCTTCAGTAACAAAGCGTTCAATATGTCAAGTTCGAGTCTATCTTTTTAACAATTGTTCTTCAATTACCTTAATGTTATTTCCTTTGGTTACACAAATTGGCAGTCTTGAATGGATTGATTGCATTTTTTCTTACACCATTTGTCTGTATGGTTGGCAAAGTGAAGTGAAAGCGATCACACACCAAGTCCATAGTGGCCATCTTTCTTGTAATATCACTGGCATCCTTTCTCACTGGATTTTGGGCATAGCGTTTCAAATCTGACGCATCATCATAAAAGATTATCATGGTAAAAATAACATTCTATCACAATACATGAATTAATACATTAAGAACTTCGTTGAGTGTTTTTTTGTTGTACTGTTATAATGATATTCATAACAAATATAATTACCAGTGTCTTTTATTTTCTTTAACAAATTGTGCACATGTGCATACACTTATGACTTGCCCGAACCCCTGGCTCTTAATGACAGCCCTGGACTTTAGTAATAACATAACAGATCTGTATGGAAGATAAAATAGTTTTAAACTCTAACTTCAAGAGGACTGGACTTCCATTTTGCTAAAAAGAAAAACCATGGAGAATCTTCATTCCCTGTCTATGGTCAACAACCTTTTTTGAGATAAATTTTATGTTCATAGCTAAGTTTACCTTTTAAAGATTAAAAGCCCACTGTTTGTATTGCTATTGTTTGATGGCATCAATTGCAGCCGGTCCTGTCTCATCTCACGCAAGGACATAAGTTGTTGTCATATCTCTCCCCTTCTATGACCTTGTTTTTCACTTTCACAGGAAGATTTTCCTCTCTTAGCCAACTCTTCCGTCCATCTGCCCAAAGAACCTTATAGACAAAAAATAATTCTACTACGACTTTTGGAACTATAGTTTAAGTTTATGACATTAAATTTAACAAAACATTTTATATTCTGGGAAAACCAGTAAACTTGGTACATAGCTTGAGCTGACTAATCCCCTATATAAAATATATCATGAAAACAAGGTTTCACCTACATGTGTAAGTACACCAAATCTGGACATTATGCTATTAATTTTGCAACCACAAGTGTCTGTATGTCTTTGTTATGAAATACCATCCATTTAGCAAAATATATTGCAAGATGACAGGCCTTCTCAAAGACAAGTTTCTGTACAACTCGTGGCATTGTCTGTTTAATTAGATGTCCAGCTTTTTACTGCCTTTCAACCAAAATACATTTCAGTTATTTCGAATAAAAAAAAATGAAATGACATCAGACTGTGTTAAATACTATCGGCTCTGCGTGGGCAGTTAGAAAGTATATTACAGAATAAGTATTGGTGTTATGTACCTGTTAATTAAATCTGGTTGCAAACGATTTAAGTAAGTTAGTCTCCTTTAACTGCAATATGCATTTTTAAGTCAATGTAGAATCTCTTAACACTCAGCTGTACATTGAAATAAACTGACGATGGCATGTGTCATACCAAAACATGTTTTAAAAAGGTGCAGGGCTTGAAATGTATTTTGATTTTACTTTTGTCATGAATTTATGGAAATAATTATTTAAAATATTTTACTTTTTATTTAAATCACAACAGCTGTTTCAATTAGTAGTGGCCAATAAATGTTTCGTGGTAGCTTAAGGGCATGGTTGCGAAAGTTGTGTCATTACACTTAAAAACTTTTTTGTTTTTCACTTAATAAACAGTCCAGTGCATCAAAATCAGTATCATCTCTCGCAAGAATGTATTAATTCTTACCTCAAAAATTTTCCCATCTCGTAGACACCTTTTCATTTAAAAAATTGCACTTCAGGATCATCCTTGTTTGCATGACTAGTTGTAGCAGCATCTTTGAATTGAGTTGCATGTTGGTCATGCAACTGACAAAATCTAAGGCCTTTCTCGGGAGTATTTGGACATATACTTCATAAAGAAATACCAAAAAAAAAACATAACAATTTATCTTATACTATTTCTTTAGTGTTTTTGTCTTTCGTGGAGAAACAAGCATCGCTTCTGGAGAATTTGACAATGGAGGTTCGATACTATGTTGCATTGGCTGATGAACTGTTTTTTTGTATGTGTGTGTGTGTGTGTGTGGAAGTGAGGTCGATTTAGTAATTCGAGAGGACTACTACCCGTTCTGCAGTGAATACGCCACAAAAGGGGATATGAGCCAAAGAAGAAAATCACGAGAGCTTTCAGGCCACTCATCCACCCTTCCTATTGAAATATATCATTTGATGTTTCACGTTGTTGTTAAAACATGTATCAAAATTGTGAAAGGTTTGAACCCAGGAGTCATATCAAAAGTAGGTTGGGTTTGATCGTCCGGGTGAGCGTAGTCCTGAATAGGACTGTTGTTGTTGACAGTGACTGTCGTTTCGAAAAACTGTGCGGTAGTCATCTTCAGAGTGAAAGTGAGTTGTATCACGTCAGTTGACGGTATTATACTCTGGTTATTGGTCTGATTGGTCAATTACGTTGCAACGTAATTGAACAAAATCACGTATCTCACCAATGTTCAAAGTAGTTCTAAAGTAATGTCCTATCCAAAACTGACCGACGTCCTAACACAACTTTACATCAAACTCTACCTTGCATCTTCCAGTCTCCATAACAGTACTATTTCAGAAACGCTATACAGTCTACAGAATCTCAGTATGTAACATTTGCAGACTGCAGACCAAAGACCGCAGACAGCACTCACAGCAGACTGCAGACTGCAGATTGTAAATTAAATGACACCAAAAACCTTCTAATAAAGGTGACGTCATCAAAAATATAACATCGTTTCCAGGCTTTTAAGAAAGTAAGAAAGTAGCCTAGGAACAAGGTTGATATTTTTTGCACAAAATTACACTGGCTTCATTTCCAAGATGCTGTTGGCTATTCTTCACCGACTCTTTATCGACTCCCCTGGCCGTACAGCCAACAGCTCCTTTGGGAATGAGGTCGATGTAATTTGCATGGAAAATATAAACTTCGCTTCTGGGCCTTACTTCTCATTTTGTTAGAAGCTGGGAACAAGGTAATGTTGACAATGACGCCACCTTCATTGCGATATTTTTGGTCTCATTCAATTTACAGATTTGCAGTCTGCGGTCTGCAGTCTGCAGATGTCATATACCGACAGAATCTAAGCTTCAGTTCATGTACGTAACTTCACTTCGCCACCCAAATTGAAGCTTAACGCTTGCAACCTACAGTGTGTGTGTTAGCACTGCATTTTATTTCCCAGTACCTAGAATGCAGGTGCTCTTGTAGAAAACAAGACAAGTAAGAAAATTTCTGAGTTCCCTGAATGACATGAATTTGTTGACTCCATGGATCATGTCAGGTGAACAAGCCCGGGAACAAGCACTTTCTCCACTCGATACGTACGAATCGTACAACTCGACTACAAATATAAGCGGTGTCTTACCAACAAGACAAGCTAGTAAATTTCTAAGTCCCCTTAATGACAGCATTTGTCCACTCGACAGTTCACTCTGTCTGGGCCACTTTTTCCACTCGTACGGGAATTCTTGTTGGGGCTGTGCCGTCCGGTTCTTCAAATCCTGACCCGATTTCAGACCAAAAAATGTTATTCTCCACACCCTTTTCAGACCTAGCCTTTCGGAACAAATTATATTATCACTACTCAGATTAGAGCGCAAACAAAAATAATTATTCAGATCCATTTGAAATTCGCATATTTCTCTTTCTTTCTTACTCAGTTGGAATCGAAACGATAAATACGTTTATACACACCGTAGTTCCCTCGAAAACCATACCCGATTCCAGACCAAAATGGGCAAAGTGTATACCGGTTTCAGACCAAAAACCCTACCCGATATAAGGGCGGCACATATCTATATAGCTTATATGAGGGAGTACCCCCCCTCCCCCCCCTCGGGCAAAATTTCTAAATGCCCTTAATGAGACGCAAATGTTCACTCGACAGTTTACTCTGTCAAGTGGACATGCAAGCACTTTCTCCACTCGTACGGCTCGTACGACTCGACTACCATTATACCAAGAAGACAAGCTAGAAAATTTCTAAGTCCCCTTAATGAGATGCCAAAGTCCAATCGACAGTTTGCTCTGTCCCCTCGTATCATGTCGACGGTATTGGACAACCCTCTCAGCACCAGTCTTTATAACAGCTTAAAAGTTGCCACCCTGTCGATCTGCTTTTCAAATATCCAAATTGACTTGGGTTTAGTAATTGATGTTTAGTCCAAAATGATACGACTCTTGATTTTTCAATTTTCTCAGCTGTTTTGCTAATGATGGATATCAGCGAGATTTGAAGATAGTTTTCCTTTTTATGTTTTAGTTGGTTCCTTTTTATGTACTGGAGCGATGTAGATAGTTCCAGTGCGCATTCCTTTAGACTTGTGGATGTTTAGTTAAATGATTTTCCACTTCGCTAGGTGTACATGACACATTGCATAACTTATCATCAAGAACATATCAAAATCCGGAAGAGTCTTTTGTTCGTGTCTAAATACTCAGATGTGCAAAATAAATTTTTGTAAATTCGTGCTCAAATGACTAGGCGAAATGTTTTGGCTTTTGAGCTGAAACAAAACCTTAAATAGCCACATAAAAGACATACTGAATGCGTAAATCCGGATGTTTTAATTTATCAGCAAACAAACTTCACAAACTTCACATCAGGGGCACTCAACGTCAATTTTCGGAAGATATCTGTTCGAATACGATTTGAGATTTAGAATTTTCGCAACATTTGTTGTGAAATTTCTTGCTGGCCTACCTCTCCTAGGATTTTCGAACATGTAAAAAATGGCATAATTGCTCATTTTTTACGGATTTTTACCCTAAAAAAGTCACCTAGAGTTTTCGGGAGCCTTTTTTCTGGCTGAAATTTTCGAAAAGGTATGTTTTGATCCCTATAATTTTCGGATCACTAGACTTTCAGCTAGGAAATCCGAACAGAGGAAAAAATTTTAGGGGATAAAAATATGCCTATATCTACCGTTTAAATACTAAAATACGTTCAACAATGCTATGTTTAAGTGGTTTTGAACTATATTCTCGACGGGCGCCCCTGTTCACAAGATATTTTAACAAGAATACTTTGCTACAGTAGTAAGACGAATGTTATAATTATAGAGTGATTTGAAACGTCAAGTGTTCAGAAGTTTCACATTGAATACTCTGTACAGAACACGTGAAATCAGACAAGCTTTCAATATCTTCGAAAATTTTTATGCATTCATTACAGTACTGAATCGTTTTAACTTGAGCTCTACATACTAGGACTATGGAAACTATTTTTCTAGTTGATTAAAATCCACCGTCTATCTCAAAATTGACCGTTTTACTATCACCCTACTTTATAAAGTTCGAAAAACCCCCCAAAAAGCAAATAGTTCTTAAGTCAAGTCATCAATCTCGGCTTCAATGTCAGCTTTTGACATTGCAATATTAGATTTCACTTTTTCTTTTATCTCTTCAGCTCTCTTTTCCGAGATCGGAGGCAGTAAAGCTTCTACTTCGCTTTCAATTCTTCCAATTCTTTTGTCAAATGCTTCTGTTATTTCCTTCTTCTTGTTAAGAGCAATTCTACGAATGGCTTCCTGAGCTTCTTCACAGCCTTGGTTTAGCTCTTCTCGCCTCAGCATGATCTCGTGTTTATTGCTATCTGGATCCAGCGCAATCAACTTACCAAGACATGTAATACGCTCCATCAAATGCTTATCCGACACCTCCACGTATACGCTAGAAATGCTGTTCACCACGTACGCAATCTGATTGGCTTGAAAGGCTTGTTCGAAGATGACGTCACGCATGGTAGCAGACATGCCACTGTCACCTTGGGCAAATCTGTTACGAGAGGTTTGCACAAAGGTCTTGAGGGAGGTACTCAGGCAACACTTGACTAAATTGGATAGCATCTGGAAAAACCGAACCAGCTTGCCCCACTGTTCTCGCAATTCACCGAGAGCTTGAATACCTTTAACCAGAGTCTTCCTGATTTTTTCCATATCTATTTCTTTTAAGTCTAGTTCTTTCATTTCGACAAGAAGATTGGTCACCTCTCTTGTTTTCTTCGCAACCTCATCACAAGATGCCTCGTATGCGCGACGAGAATCCTTCAACATTTCTTTCGCTGTTTCCGTCCTGAATCGATAACTGTCCAATGCTTGTTGGACTAAACCACCATCGCTGTTGTACACTGGCTGTTTGGCAAGATTTGGAGATGTATTTGGAAGGGCGTTGGTACCAATAACGGAATGCGATACACCTAGTAAGATGTCGGCCTCTTCGAGGAGCATATCTGCTTGCAAATGTATCTCTTCAATGTCTTGCTGGGAATATTGCAGTTGTGGTTTCTTAGACAAGGTTTCGGAAAGATCAATCGCATCTTTGCACAGATTCAGCACTTTCGTTTTCGTCCGTGATTCATTTACTTCTTCCAATCGATTTTTCTTGATGCTTTCAAGTGCCTTCATAGAGCGTAATACTCCATGCTTTGCCTTTTTATCGCCTTTCATGACCTCGCCACCATGTGCAAGTGTCACAAGGGTTTCCACTAGGCCGTAAACCTCAGGCACGATTTTATAAATCGCCAATGCGCCTTCAGAATGTTGTGGACAATTTGAATCTCTTGTGGGCTCATTGACTTGAGATTCTTGGGAGGAACGAGTATTGAAGCCTAGTCTTCCCAACATCATACTTGGTATGGCGCCAACGACGCGAGTAGCACTGATCATGGTGTCAGCGCAAGCTTTTCCAATGATACTCCATGCGCCAGGCATTGATTTAATGGCATCTTTGAATTCTTCATTCGCCTCCTTCATTTGCTTTTCCATTTCATCTCGTCTACTTAAAACGTCTTCTTTCTCCGCTTGAACGGCTTTCATATGCTCCTCCGCAACTTCATGAGCGATCTTTGCGGCTTTCAAATCCTCTTCATGTTGACCCTTCGCTCGTGTACACGCCTCAAGGAGT